TGTTAGGAAGGGCCATAAAGGAGAAGAATGTGCTCCTGTGAGAAGCACAAGAGGTAAAGGTCATGAAGAAAGAAGAAAATTAATTGACAATTGAGATATGTCACTGCAAGGTGCCATGGAGATGGTAAAGGATGTAACAGAGGAGGCGTTTTGCAGAATGAGAGAGGTCCATCAGCCCCAGAAATGGTGGAATGGCTGGGGGAGAACAAGGAAGTAGAGGTTGTACCAGAGGCATCAACCCCTCGTCTATTGAAATCCTGCCCTGTTTGTAGTCAAGAAAATAAAGAAACAGCAACCACAGATTCCTCTGGGAGAGGTGTAGCCTCCTTCCCATGTCGTGGAGCACTGTATGTTCTGCCCCTATACACAGGCAAAGCTACTGGTTTCAGCAGAAACTCTCAGAGTCCGTATCAACCTGGCTCCAGTGCCTTTGGGATGTAGAGGTGGATGGGATCATTATGTCTAGATCAGAGATGGGAAAACTGGCTTCTCTGACAACTCATCCTGACAGCTACACCAAGTGTCTTGCCTGTGGGAGATTGTCCCTGGGCAAGTTCACTCTGGATCCAGTGACCAAATAACAATAACAGAACATTAAGGGTAAAAGTGTTTATACCAAGCTTTATTCTCACAGTGGCAGATCAAGTGCTGGAATCATATCTGCTTCTGGGGCAGTCTGTGTGCAGCAAGCACATCTCCATTTCTGCCTCTGGGCAGAGCTTTCTACATAGTAGCACCAACAATAATGGCTTATTGCTAAGGGTGTGTAAGCATTAGCCTAGCAGTAGGCCAATCACATCATCAAGTAATTTAGGGTCATGTGAGGATCCTGGCCATAGGAACTTTCATTTTCCCTACAAGGAGTATCAGAGATTATTTCTGTGGTGGTTAACTTTTGGCATTACAGCCCAGCTCACCTTCACTTCTTTAATTTGTATTCTACCCTCAGCTTTGGCTATTGGGTGACTTTAGGTGTCTACATGGCAACTCTCTGCACATTTTCTCTGATCTCCTTTCATCAGATCACCTTCTGTGCTTCAATGTGTTAAAAAAAAAAAAACCCCAAAACCAAAACCCCACATCTATATTATCATATAGATCAGTTTCATCTGATTGACTTTCTAGCTCTTAGTTTTAATGTTCTAGAAAGAAAGTTTGGCTCAGCCAAGTCTATGAATTATTAGGTAACCATTTCTTCTCCAAATAGCTGCAAGTTATTGGGAATGAGAGAGAAAGGAGGAGAGCCTCCTTGGAGAGGTTAGCATGATGTTGGATGCATCAGTTTTGATGGTATGGGTCTGAGGCCATGTAGCCAGGATTACAGTAGAAGTGACCAAAACCATCAACTTCCAGGAGAACCCATTTCTCTTCTTGAAGTGGTCAATTATTTGGGTGATAGTATAGATAAATTATACTATAATTATAGATAAAAATATTTAAGTTACCTGATGAGCTCTCAGAAATTGCCAGACATTTTGACTGTTTTAGGTATCTGCTTAGTAATTTCTGAGTAATCACCAGGTGCCATGATAATGTGTTCATGGTAGCTAGCTAAGGTGTACCATCTGGAGTACATTCTACCACTTGTCACTTGCTTATTTAAATTTGGCTCTAGGTACTGGAAGTTATGGTCTATCAAGCCTCACACCAGAAGATCTGGTCAGCAAGAGTGGGACATAGTCTCAGATGGTGACTGCATTGAGGGCCTAGAAGTTTTGACAGAGTGGCACTTATCTTTTTCTCTTACATTAGAGTTCATGGGGAAGAAGTGAAATTCTATGGCCCAGATGCAACTTACCTCATACCATAATAGAATCAACAAATGGGATCGACAGCCCCTTGATGGGTAGGGCCATCAAGCACATTGCCTAGTACTAACAGAAGGCCTACACAATTCTGGGTCAGTGGTCACTGCTCACCTCTCTGTAGTCCATGTAAGCCATGAGAATAGGTATGTGATATAGTTTCTCTCAAATCTGGAACTTAGAAGTAAAGTAGCTTCCACAAGTTCCTGGTGAATTTCTCTGGGAATGATGCTAGCAATATGCTGGGGTATGTATGATGCTAATGAGCAATGCCTTGGTACTCTATTCCTAACCTTGTCAGCTGCATGGGGTATGTAATCTGTTGGAATTAGAACTTTCAAACCTTGTCTTTACCTTCCTCTCCAACCCTTTCATCATATGGGCAATGGAAGACCAACAAAACTGATAGCCTCGCAATTTTGTTCAAATAACATTTCAACTAGTAGTTATCAGGAGTTGGGCCAGACATAGGGATGGAGCATCTTTGAGGATTTACATATTCCAGGAACTAATTAAAAGTTGTATCCTGAGGTGGCCACTATAAATTAAATAGACTTAAGCTATGCTACAAAATCCAGATAGGGTTGGATGAAAAGTAATGAAATTATGAAGGCAGACAGGCTAGCAAATGATGGGAAGCAATGCATAGGATGGATAGACACAAATGAAAGATAGGAAATATGCAGGAGACCTTTGGTTTAGAGTCCACATGCTCATGGAGGCATTTTATTTGATGTCCATGGCTATTGGTGAAGATATACTGGAATTCAATAAAAGAACCAAAGCAAAAAAATGTGGAGCTCCAGTTAACATTGTTAGTATATCCTTGTCAACTGACAAACCTATCCATCCCTCTCTCCGATGCAGTTGTTTCCTAAGTCTGGGAGAGTCTACCTCTTAATACTTCTCATTCTGTTTCTATGGTGACCAGAGTGATCTATCTAAAACAACAGCTTTGACTTAAGTATCTTCAATGCCTTCCCATATCCTACAGAATTAAATCTAATGTGTAAGATAGCATATAAGACTATTTCTGATCATGCCCCTGCTTATTTCTCCATCCTCCTCTCTTGCTACTTTCCCTCTCTTTCCAAATGACTTATTAGTATTCCTTGGAACATGCCATTCTATTACATTCCTTCATGACTTAGTTCCTCTGGATATTGTCTGGAATGGTCTACTCTTGTCTGTCTGGCAAATTTCTGCTAGTCCTGTAACATTTCTGCCTCTCTGAATGCTTTCTGACCTAACAAGGCAGAGTTGAACACCCTTTCTTCACAGACTTCCTCTATTTTAGTACTTACTTCAGAAAATCTGTTTGTAGAGGGCATGGACTCTGTCTAACTAATGCCTGTGCCTTCAGAGCCTGGCACAGTGCCTGACACATAGTAGGGTCTCAAATTATCTTTGAATAGGGAAGTAAAATGCTTTGTTTAAAAGCCAGGGGAACTTGTAAACCAGTTCATGTTGTTGTTGTTGATAATCTCTTGGATCCAATATTTGATGTCCAAAGTATGTGATACTGATTCCTTCATTAATTCAACAAGTACTTATTGAACATGTACCCTAAGCCAGGAATGAGAATACAATGACAAACAAAAATAGATATGCTCTTTACTGCTCTCAGTTAAGGATTTTTTTGGGGAAACTATTACTGCATTTGTATGAGTTATTAAATAAAATAGAACATATTCTGGGTTTGGCCAATGATGTCAGTCTGATTTTCCCTTTCAAGGATTTCTGCAGTATGGGGTCAAATCCTTTGCCTGTTGGACTGCTTTGGTTTCATGCTTGCTGCAAGTTTGTCTCTAGTTTTTCAGTATAGAAAACCATTTTGGGTAATAAACACAACAAATTAAAAAAGAAACATGTAAAACAGTTGAACATCTTGTTTTAATTCAAGAAAAACTTTGTTTTTAGAAATCTGTAGAGGTTTGGAATACATCAGTTACTATATTTACTAAGTGCTTTTACATTAATAGTGGTATTTGGTTTTGTTTATAAAACCAAAGGAATATAGAAAGAGCATTCAAGAATCAACAAAACAGAATCATCTTCTTAGGCTGGAGGGACTACTTTAAACCAGTGAGATATTATCAATATATACCCAAGTAAATAAAGCTCCTAGTTCTCCTGCTGAAAGCCAGTAAGACATAAACTTCTACTTCAGACAATGTGATGGGAGGAATAAAGAAGCTGCCAGATCCTGGCAGGTTGAAAATGGAAAAGGAAAAAACAGAAAACAAAAAACAAAAGCCATCAAAGCTCCTGTGAAAAACAAATATGAGAAAATTCAAACAAACCCAAACTAGGTTCCTACAGGTTCCTACTATTCTGAAATCCCGTGGGGTCAGCTATAAACAAGGACAGACTTGGAATCCAGGCAGCCAGTGATGTGTAAATCAGTTAGGTCCATTCAAAAGCATAACAGCATTATATGGAATGGGCATGCTGTGTTAAATGTTGCTTATGACAAGAGTTTATCCTTCAAAGCAAACACAAGGCAAAATAAAGTTGCAATTTCAGCTTGAGTCCAAAGTAGTTAAAGATCTCCTAAAATGAAGCTAAATTTACTTGGCTTAATTAGGAGCTCTAAAAAAAATTAAGTTTTGTAAAAGTTATAGTATTATGTAACAATTAGTCTACCAATATTCTTTCCCCTCTCTGAGGGTCTCAGAGAAAAATGACAGTCTTGATCATCTTCTAAAAATAAAAACAATTGTATATCAAGCAGAGCTTTCAAGGTTCCTTGTGAGATTTAAGGACAAGGAAATGGGGAGGGAATAGAATTACAGATTATCTCATACCTTTACCCCATTCTGAACTGAAGCCTACTTTGGCCTTCTGATAGACTAGTTTTCCAAAAAAGAGTTTGGGCTTTGACCTAAGATCCCTCTGGAGCCATTCTTCTGACCATTTAAATGGAACCCCAAACACTGGCATGGTGATACATTTCATCTACAAACTTTAGTGTAAAATAACTGGGTACAAAACACTGGATTCTCTGTCTCAACAGCAGCAAATATCTGTGTACAAAATGGGCATTACTTTTCTCAAAACCTGATTCTGCCCATTTCCTATGTCAAGTTTGCCATTGTGACTTGGTTGCTTGTTTTTGATGAACAGAGTTGCAGTTATGAAGAGGGAAGGGAGTTCTTGCACTGGTCAGGTGGCCAGGCAAGGTTACCAAGGGACTTACTGGAGCTCCAGAAAAGGGAGCAGGTTATCCTCATTCTTTCTAACCAGATAATGTCCATTCCCAAGAACTGAATCATTCCCACTTCCTGAAACCGGGAGTGGGTCTTCCCCACTCTCTGCTGAAGAAGAAGGCAATCACTGCCAAGCTCTCTGCCACCTGCGACTCTGGACTTGCTTGTCACCATTAGACCTTGAAAGGATCTTAATGTGGCTGACTTCTTCATGTCTGCAACTTCCTGCAGATGGGAGAGCCCATGGTGGACAGGGCAGCTGATGTCTTCTGTTTCACATAGGCATTGGAGATCTGAACATTGTGCCAGCTCTTGGACAGATTCTCAGTCCCACCCAGGCTATGTGGCCCAACTTCCTTCTAAGCTCCATTCCGCCCCTCTCTTTGACTGCCAGCGCATGGTGTACAGTTACAATTTCCATCTCCAATTTAGTGAACTCAGATTTGAGCTTCTTTTGCTCAGCTTCTGTGAGATCCTCTGGTTCAGCAGTTAGGTGGGATTCATATACACCTGCAGAGGTCTCTGCTATGGCGCCTGGCATGAACTGAGAAAGAAGATCTGCATTAAGAGAGTCCAAGTCCAAGTTTTGGTAGAGAGAGTCAAACTCATGGCCAGCTGAGATATAATCCTTGTCATTAGAGTTGAAATCTAGGCCCACAGGTTCAGACTCTTGGCTGGTGGTGTAGAGCTCTCTGGCGGGACAGATCTGTATCTTGACCTGTGAAATGCGTGTGTTAGCTGGTGGGAAGAAGTCCTGGCATGTGGATGCCTCTGTCTGCAGGGTCCACTCCCAGGTGGGGGTAGGTAGCTCAGACCAGGTCGAGGTTTCAGAGGTGGGACATCTGACCTGAAGGCTTCAGTTGCAGAACCCAGGCCCAGCCTTGGTGCATCCTTCCCATGCAGCGGTGTTTGGGACAACAACCCCGTGAGGTAGGCAGTACTGCAATTATTATCAGAGAGGAAGTTTCCCTCCTACCACAGTAGATGACAGGTCCTGGCCTTGAAACTAAGTCTGATTCTCCTTACAGATGTCTTTCCATCACACCAACCATTTTTAAACCCTTTGGACTAACAGAATTTATGAAAAATTCCAATATATAAAATAAAAACTTCCCCAAAGTGGGGCAGGGAGTCTAAAACTCCTGCCTGGCATTTTCTCTTCCTAGGTTCCCAAACGATCCCCAAGAAACAACTAGAACCACTTATAAAGTGGATTTGAAGGCTCCTCAGAACTCTTTAGTCCAATAGTGACTAACAAACTCCCATGGCAAGAGGTATCAACTGTGCCAGAGGCTTGGGATAGTGGAACTAGAGAGTGAGTTTGACCAGTCACAATTGTCTGTTATTTTTGTGGGGAGAAGAAGGGAGAATGAATAAATCTATAATAGTTGTGTGAAATTTAAGTTTAATAAAAGCAAAGACTATTGTACTGTGAGAATTTAGGAGAGAGAGAATTAGATACCAAATGGACAGTGAATGGGTTTTCAATATTGCAGTTGGATTTTTGTTTCCAACCATCTACTCAAATTTCTGAAAGAATGTCTGCCCACTAACATGGTTATCCATTGTGTGAGCAGTCTGCACAGTAAAGTGGAAGTAGTTTAATAGGGTCTGTTAGGATGTCAACCCACCATATCCCTTATTTCTACTCACAACTTATAACTTATACAGTGAAAAAATCACGACTTTAATCCAGTGAGGACAGATGGTCAGATTTCACTTAGTTCATTGGCTGCCCATTCCCAGGGAACAGCCTTGAGCAAGTCCTAGATTCTAGTGATTTTGCTGGATAGTCTGGTAGTTCTTGCAAGCTTAATCTTGTGGAACGTGATATGATGTAATCCTTTGCAAATTTCAGCAATTTGCAACACTCATGCATGTGTGGCTACAGTGACATCTAGCTGGGCTTCCATACCAACTTCAGATCTCCTTTGGGTTTATATTCAATAACCCTTTCACATAACTCAGTAGTGTTTTTTATTATCTTGCCATCAATATGTGCCTCCTCAGCTTAAAATATAAGGATTATTCCTGCTGGAAACATGAAGACTGATGAGGGATTTAGCTATGTGTATAAATACCTAAAAAGGGCAGCAAGGGCTGCCTAAAACCATTTTGTTTCAGAGGATGGGCTTTTCCTCCATTACCTGTGGAGATACTACTGGTTTCAGGAATTCTCTGACTCTAAACCAGAATTCCTCTTTCAAAACTGAGCATGAAGGGTAAAGAAGTCTCTGCATTTAAGCTAAATAACATGGAACACCAACTGTCCCTTCAAAGTTGACATTCTAAATCACCAATTTGGTGATTTGAATTTGGACTTGATCATTCTTCTCTGAATTGTTCCTGCCACCAACCTCACTGACTATTTTCTTGTTTCCATGCGTCCTCTCTCTTCAATTCAAAGTATGAAATTCTTCATTAAGCTTTGATTCCTTTTGGTAGAGTAATGATTCCCCTCAAAGCAAAATTGACCTGACCTCTTTCAGCACTTCATTTCCAGATCCCAAATAAAAAAATGGCCTCTGGAAGAGGTCCTCCTAGCTAGCAATGTTCTGACCTCTTGAGTAGACCTCAACAAATAGGTAACACGGTGGAACAATTAATTTGTGAGGCTTATGCATAACCCCATACAAAACAACACTTATACTTTGAAAACATACTTTATCAAATGAAACTTAACTTATGTGATTCTAACCACTTGTTTGAATAAACTGTTCCTTTAAGGTGTAAAATACCAAACTATTGTCACAATGGTTTTAGAATTTCATGTCTTTAGACAATGAAATCATATGTATCATATAGGAAGACTCACAAACCTGTTCATCTAAAACTGAAAGCTTTATGATGCAATTTAAGCACTAAAAATAGCCAATATATATGATTCAGTAACTTACGAAAAAAGAGCTTGAGAATGGTTTTTAATCCTACAGTGGTTTGCTATCTTTTTGTTTCCAAGGAAGATGTTATTGACCCATTTTTAGTAAAGAATGAACTTTAAGTTATTTCTCTAGAAAGAGCAATGGTTATACACCAATCCTTTTAAGTGTAACAAATGCCACTGCAAAATGATGGAGTTTTTTTTTTTAATGTTTAGAAGCTTATATGCTATGTTTTATAAATAAATTATTGAAACTTGAATGTAGAAGCAAAGCCATACCCTTCACCAGGTCTGGAAGTGAGAATGTAGTATTTGATACTTGAGTTTAGAAATGATTAGGGGCTTGTACTAGTGCTGGCAGTTTTAGCCATTTGATTTCTTTTGTTATAGTAGATAAATATAGAGCTTCCTGATTACATCAATTTATAAAATAATCCACACTGGTGGTTCAGATCACTTCTAAAGAACCAACAACTCACCCTGTAGTCCAGTCATTTGCATTGCTAGATTAAACCATAGTGAGTTTTATTTCTATTATTAGAAACAAAATAGGGCTTTATTTCTATTATTACAGAGCTACTACCATGAACATTTTGTGCATTTTAGCTGAATACCAGGAAAAAATCTTTAAATATTTAATTGAGCCTGAAAATAAGGCATATAGTTAAGTCCTAATCCAGTCAGAATGTTTCAAGAGTAGGAGGAGAAAATTGGTAGTTAGGCTTTTCTTGTGGAAAGCCAGAATATTATACTTTATTTCAGTTTGCAAGTTATTTTTACTACCTCACATCATAACCCAGCTTCATCAATAATATATGCAGTGAGTCACCTCTCAATAGATATTCCCCAGCATGAACTGGTATATTTGTTGCAATTTACAGCTGCGGGTGTTATTGTTAGCAATCCTCATATTTCAGTAGTTGAACTGATCTTCATTTAGGACTAAAATGACATTTCTTTCTAGCAGCCCTCCTACGTAGACTAATTAGTTTTTAAAAAGATACATAATATGGTATATTATAGGATAATTTTTCTCTCTGAAGCCCAAACATATACTATCAGGATATTAAATTTGAAGCTTATTACTGTCATTCACTCTCTTTGGTGTTATATATAATTGTGGCAGGAGTCCCTGGGGTTATAAAATTAAAATTCAGAATCTGATTGATCTGAAGCACCAATTCCTCATCCCCACAAGTGTCCATTTGCATGAGTTGATATGTATGGGATGAAAGGACTTGTTAGAAGGAATTTTGTGTACAGATCCTCAGAGGTACAAGAAGAGGGAGATGAAGAGATGAAGAGAAAGGAAAGGAAAATGATCAAAAGATGTAGGAATGTCCTTAGATTAAAAATGAAGATTCTCCTTGTTGGAAACATGGAACTTGTATGTATAAAGGCCTACAAAGGGTAGCAAAGCCTCCTTAAACATTACATTTTGTTCCAGAGAATGGACTTTTCCTTCCATGCTTGCAGAAACACTAGTGGTTCAGGAATTCTCCCAGACTGTGATCCCAAAACTGTCCTCTTAATGCTGAAAATGAAGGATGACGAAGCCCATGAACTAAATTAAATAAAGGGCAATATGGCAGACTTCAGGGGGAATTTTACAATGGATGATGTTTGCATTCCCTTTTTTATTTGGGTGAGGAAGGTTGACAGGAAGAGATTCTCCTTTCCCAGAAGTAGTTTTGACCTTTGTTTTTTTTTAATGTTGGAGGACAGCTTGCTGAACGGCAAGTCCTAGGGGCAACAGTGGGGAGTCATCTAAGAGAAAAATGTGGGCAAATCTGGCACATGAGCCAGAAAAGATTTGGTCAGTTATTGGCTGGTTAGTGTAGGTCATCTGTGCTCTGCCAGGGTACTGACGGCTTGGCAAGTTTTTCTAGTCAGAATCTTAGAAATTAAGAGGATGCCTTAAAAGAGTGCAGAGGACTGTGAAAAGACAAGATTGACACTTGCTTCTCACTGTCACCCTCCTCCCCAGCCAAAATACTTCCTGGATTACATGGAGTTTCAACAAAAGTGCAGACTGCTGCTAAAATGTCTGCAGGGGGCCCAGATTACTTGACCCCTAACTAAGCAGGAAAATATATTTGGAGGATGTTTAGAATTTGAGTACCAGGAAATTTACCTTCCCTCAAATGACTGAGCACAGAGTGGACATCTACAGAGAGGACAGAGCAGAAGCACGTTGGAAGGGCTGGACCCAAGTATATAAGACTCCCAGAAGTAACTGGGGAGACTTGGGGGGTTGCTGAAGTCCTGAAGCTTGGCACTAAAGGTTTAGAACCAGAAAAACGTGGGTGTGAAAGCAGTTTGACTCACTTGTATCCATAGACTGCAGAGGCCTGGGGACAATCAAGCTATTAATAGAAAACTCACCATTTTTAAAGGTTATGAACATTGTGGTAAATTTGCTATAACATGAAAAACCTAAGGCCTAGATTTTACTCCCTAGTTGCTTAGCTATTCTTGTCTTAAAACTGTCATGCCTGCTATGGCAACAGCATAATTACTTCATTTCCTCAATTCTGAGACACAATCAATTGTGAGATGTATCTTTGTTTAATAAGAGGTTTCTAGGAGGAAAACCCTGCTATATTAAGTTATACATTGATTTTAAGATGCAGTCCCAGTTTTAGAGACATTAAAGTGCCACAAAGTGCATCTTAATTGAAGAAATAAAGTAGTAATGCAGCAAGCTACAAATGCTAATGGTTCTGCTTGATTCTTCTACTGGAATTTAGAATGGACCTTCATTTGCACTGGTTCCTCTTTCC